CCCCTGTATCTACAAATACAATTTTTAAAAATTACCTGGGCCTGGTGGCACACACCTGTAGTCCCGCCTGAGGTGAAAGAATTACTTGAGCCTGAGAGGTCAAGGCTGCAGTGAGCCAGGATGGCACTACTGCACTCCAGCCTGGGCAGCAGAGTGAGACAGGGTTGCCCTCTGTCTCAATAACCAACAAACAAATATCTTGATAAATTTCATGTGGAATGTGAGCTCAGGAGCCTTGGAGGGGACAACCAAGGCCACAAAAGATGTGTGTGACTCTAATTATCTCTGCCTGAGAGATGCTAGGGAGAATTTGGTTTGCTCCAGACAGGAAGGGAGGAGAGTTGCTAGGGAGATACCCTGAAGGACATGGAGGGCATGAGTGCAGAAGGCTGAACAAAGATCCCCAGTTAAGAAATGGATGAAGAGCATTCTATAAATTAGGCTGCCTGATGTTCCTCTGAAAGCTGCTAACTTTTCTGTAATATCAATCCCTCCTCCGTCTCCCCTGCCCCATCTACAGTGAAACCATGAATGCTTCCTAGGAAGGGGAAGAAGGGTGATTTGGGAGGATAGAACTTCAGCAAAGATCTGAGTTTTGTTTCTAGGTAAACGTGTTATAGATGAGGTCAGAATTATTGAATCAAGAGCTAGCACCATAGGAGGCCCTCCCCATTCCCATTCCCAAGATAATTTACAGCCATCTTGGGGAAAGCTTTGGGTGTCCATAGGGCAAACAGTTGTTTTTATTTAATAACAGCTTTATTGAGGTATAATTCCCATACCATACAATTTACCTATTTATAATTGTATGAGTTAAGCTTTTGGTATATTCATGGAGTTGTGCATCCATGGCCACAATCATATTAAGAACATTGTCATTACCCCAAAAAAGAAACCCTGCACCCCTAGCTTTCACCTCTCAACACCTCCCACAATCCATTCACTCTCAGTCCTAAGCAAATACTAGCCTACTTTGTGTCTATGGATTTGTCTGTTCCGGATTTTCCATATAAATGGAATAATACAATATGTGTGGGGGGGTTGTTTTTGTTTGTTTGTTTTTTGAGACACGGTCTTGCTCTGTCGTCCAGGCTGGAGTGCAATAGCACGATCTCTGCTCACCGCAACATCCGCCTCCCAGGTTCAAGCAATTCTCCTGCCTCAGCCTCCCAAGTAGCTGGGATTACAAGCATGTGCCCTCCACCCAGCTAATATTTTTTCTTTTTAGTAGAGATGGGGTTTCACCATGTTGGTCAGGCTGGTCTTGAACTCCTGACCTCATGACCCTCCCACCTCGGCCTCCCAAAGTGCTGAGATTACAGGTGTGAGCCACTGCACCTGACAATATGTGGTCTTTTGTGACTGGCTTCTTAGCAAAATATTTTCGAGGTTCATCCATGCGTGCGTCAGTGCTTCATTTCTTTTTATTGCAATATTTCACAGAATGGATTTACCACCTTTTGTTTCTGGACATGTGTTTCCACTGTTTTTGCTATTATGCATACTGCTACTACGAGCATTCCTGTGAAAGTTTTTACGAGGACATGCTTTCATTTCTCTTAGGTAGATAACTAGCAGTGGAATTGCTGGGTTGGATGGTAACTCAGTTTAATGTTTTGAAGAACTGCCAGCTGCTTTCCAAAGTGGATGCACCATTTTCCATTTCCCCCAGCAGTGTATGAGGCTTCCAGTTTCTCCACATCCTCAGCAACGCTTATTACCTGTCCTTTTCATTACAGCCATAATAGCGGGTACAAACTGGTATCTCATTGTGGTTTTGATTTTCATTTTCCTACCAATGAATGATGTTAGCCATCTTTTCCTGTGCTTATCGATCATTTGTATATCTTCTTTGGAGAAATTATCTATTCACATCCTTTGCCCATTTTAAATTGGGTAGTCATTCTATTATTGAGTTGTAAGATTTGTTCACATACTTGACATACCAATTCTAGTCCTTCACCAATGAATTGCAAATATTTTCTCTCATTCTGTGTGTGTGTTGTCTGTTCACTTTCTTGATGATGTCCTTTAAAGCAAAAAGTGTTTAATTTTGATGATTTATTGCTTACTTTTTCTTTTGTTGTCATATCTAAGAACCTACTGCCTAATCTAAGGTCACAATGATTTATGCTTATGTTTTCTTCTAAGAGTTTTATAGTTTTTTGAGGTGGTGGTGGTGTTGTTGCTATTGTTGAGACAGAGTTCTCACTCTGTCACCAGGCTGGAGTGCACTGGCATGACCTCAGCTCACTGCAACCTCCACCTTCCGGGTTCAAGTGATTCTCCTGTCTCAGCTACCCGAGTAGCTGGGACTATAGGCAGGCGCCACTACACTCGGCTAATTTTTGTACTTTTAGTAGAGACGGGGTTTTGCCACATTGGCCAGGTTGGTCTCAAACTCCTGACCTGAAGTGATCCACCCTCCTTGGCCTCCCAAAGTGCTGCCGAGGTGGGTGGATCACGAGGTCAAGAGATCGAGACCATCCTGGCCAACATGGTGAAACCTCGTTTCTACTAAAAATACAAAAATTAGCCGAGCGTGGTGGCACACACCTGTAGTCCCAGCTACTGGGGAGGCTGAGGCAGGAGAATCTCTTGAATCCGGGAGGTGGAAGTTGCAGTGAGCCGAGATCGTGCCAGTGCACTCCAGCCTGGTGACAGAGTGAGACTTCATCTCAAAAAAAAAAAAAAAGAAAGAAAGAAAATAGATGGGGAGCATCTGGCCTTGGGTACTGGCCCTGGAGTGCACAGACAGCGCCTCTCTAGGTCCTGGCCCCACTTCTCCCTGATGGGCCTGCTCCCCTCAGCCTTCCATCCCTCTTGCTTGGAGCTGTAGAGCCAGTTACTCTGGAGCTATACCCTTACCATTACCTTCCAAAGAAGAAATAAAACCTTTCTCTGGGCATTTTCTGCTGTCTGCCCTTCTCATGGTCCAGCTTCTGTTGTTCCACTGGACGTTATCTGTTTGCCCAGCTGCATGGCTGTGGCCAAGGGGTCTTTAGGGGGACACACTCTCTCCTCCCAGGGACTTTGCTAGTTTCCCATATCTTCCTGCCTTACTCTATTGACCCTTCTCCCTCAAAATCACCTGAAGCCTCTTGCCTCCCTAGAAAGAGGACTGAGGCAGAAAGGCCTCAAAGTGGTTCTCAACCCTGGCTACATACAAGAATCACCTGGATTCTTGTACCAACACCCAGGCCCCAAACCAGATGAATTAATCTAAATCTGTAGGGGTAAGTCCCCTGCATTGGTATTTGTACAGCCAGGGTTGCAAAACACTGGTATAGAGATGTAAGATAGTGACGATGAACTTGGAGAGGCACTGAGATGCTGTCTCCAACCCCACCACATACACAAGGTCCTGTCGTCATTATTAGAATCATAACGCTCCAGAAGCAACAATAGCCCAGGAAATCCTCAAACTTTGTCCCTGCAAAGCATTTCACTTTACCTCAGCTTGAAGCCAGTTGCTAAGGCCCTACCTGGAGCAGATAGCCAGCATGATTTGCTAGTTTTGAAGGTGTTTGGCAGGTGTGCTGGGTCCTGACCCCTGGGGTTGGGGGGCAAATGGGTTCCCTGGAAAGGGAGAAAGGTGCTTATGGGTGGATAATCTGTATGCTTGTCCCTCTCTGCAGATCCCTGTGGTTTTAGGGGACTTTCTGTCCTTTTCTTAGGGAACACCTGGAATGTTGGGGTACAGAGGAAAGAGCATAGTAGGGGTGGAGAGATGTAGTCAGATATGCCCAGAATTGACCCTGGAGCCACAGGAGCCTTCTGACAAACTTGGGGTCATTCCTGTTGAGAAGGGTAAGAATGTGGACGGCTCAGGAAGACAACACTGACTCAAGCCGCAGTTATTGCTTGGTTACTATCTACTCTAAAAAGTCAAAAGGCGAACTGGGGAAAATATTGACAACAAATATAACATACATAAAGGCTCACTATGCTAGTAAGTTTTATAGTGGGAAACACAGGAAGGCCCTCAAAGAACAATGTGCATAAAAAGAGAATTCCTAGAAGGAAAAAACACCGATAATTACATGTTGAAGCTTGTTGGTGATTAAAGAGCCGCGCTAGAACATCATTTGCGCTGCAAGATGAGTGAACATTTACTTAAAATCCTAATATCTGATGCTAGCAATAGTTTGAATAGCTCCTCTTTGAGTAACAGCAGATTCGCAGGTAGTGCCTCTCGGCTAGCTCGTTGTTTGAATTCCTTCATTCCTTATAAAGTAGGCTCTATTATCCCCATCTTGCTGGTGCAGAAACTAAGGCAAGTAACTTGTCCAAAGCCACATGGCTGATGTGCAGCGCACCCACTTCACTGCAGGTGGAAGTGGAAGGGAACATATAATCTTCCTGGAAGGCAGTTTCCAACCCCATATTGACAGCTAAAAAATATTCATTCCCTTTCACCTAGTGATTCCACTCCCAAAAATCCATTCTAAGAAAACAACCAGAGTTGAGCCATTTTGTTCTTGGCAGCACAGGTGAAACAATGGCACAGCCATTATGACGTTGGGCTGTGGTTGTATCATAATGTACGTTCAGTATGTAGAATAATGGGCGCTAGCTCATAATATAATGCTATTAAATGAAAAGAGATGCAAAAAAACAAAAAAGAGTCATGATATGCATATATATTGCAACAGACCGTGATTTCTGTGGGTGGTAGGATGGTCATTTTTTATTTCCACGTTGAACATTTCTGTTTTCTACTTATTAGTTTGATAATCGGAAACAAAAGCTAAGAGTCTTTGTTGTTTGCGTGTTTGATGCTGAGTTTCCCCGGCAGCAGGGCTGGGAGGTTGGGTGAGGGGTTTGGCTCCGGTTGGGAGCGGAGCGTCGGGTGGGGCTGCAGGCGGGCAGGGTCCCCCGAGGCGCCGGGTCTCTGCCCCTCCAGCGAGTGAGGCGGCCGGACCCTGGCGGCCTGGAAGGGTCGGGAAGGAGCGGTCCCTGGGGGCGAGGCGCCGGCAGGTCCGAGTTCCAGCCCCTTGATGTCCTCCGCGGGCAGCACAGCTCGGCGGGCGGGCTCGGGAAGCTGGCACTCAGAAAGGGGAGAAGGAAGAGGGGCTAAGCCGCAGCCAGCTCCACTTGGCTCCGTGCAGCGGGAGAACAAAGTCTCCTTGAAGGCCACCTGGACTGACGAAGAGTCCAAGCAGCCCAGGTGGGTCAGGGGAGAGGGTGTCCCGCTGCGGGGCGCGAGAACCCGGCCCAGCGACTCCTTGGTCCTGCATGGACCAAACAGGCGGAGGCCGAGGCTGCGGCCGGAGAAGCCCGGAGAGCCGGGCGGGGGCCAGAGATCGCCTCCCAAGAGGTGCCCGGGCTGTGGCCCAGGGTGGATTCCCCACTGCCCTGCCCACCAGCCCGCCCCTGCCGGGCCTCGCCGACCGCCTTCGAGCACAGGCTACTGCCCTCGCCACGCGCCCCCCCGCCCCCGCCCTGCCTCGCTCACCAGCCCTGCGCTGACCCCAGTCCCAGCAAGGAGTCCGACCAGACAGCGATCCACCAGACTGCAATCCACCAGACGGCGATCCGGAGCTACTATCAGCTGATCGCGGCCACTGTGGGCAACGTGGAATGGCTGCGGTTCTGTCTGAACCAGAGCCTCGGGGAAATCCCCACCAACAACAAGGTAAGGCCTTGAGTGTGGGGGCAAGGACCGAGGTCCCTCTCGCGCTACCCAGCTCGGAGTGGTCACCTGGAGAAGAGATGTCCTTTTCTGGGTACATTCTCCTAATTTAACTCATCTTCTGGCTGTGGAAGGACCATTTTGGGGACAGGGAGATTGGGTGGTCTGATGAACACACACTGGTTAATTAGCAAAGGGGTGTGAGCATTCCTAGGGACACAGGGAAGAGAGTAAATTTATATAAATTAAGTTGTAGACCCTGGGACCTCAACCCCACTCAGCCTCCTCCTGCCTGCTCTGGACCTCACAGGGCTTTACTGCCATCCACTTCGCAGCCCAACGGGGCAAGCTTGCATGCCTGCAGGTCCTGGTAGAGGAGTTCAAGTTTCCCGTGGACCTGCTGACCAATGATAGCCAGACCCCCCTGCACCTCGTCATCCACAGGGACAACACTAGTGTGGCCCTCCCCTGCATCTACTACCTGCTGGAGAAAGGGGCAGCCCTCAATGTGTGAGTCCAGCCTGCTTCAGGAGGGAGGCTGCAGACTGGGCACAGGAGCCCGACTTGCAGGCAGGCAAATCCATACAAGACAGGCAGAGGGGCTGTGGGAGGTGATAAGGATTGAGTCCCACATAAAGCAATCTGGAACCCACATGGTGTAGTAGTTAAAGAGACTGGGCTTTGGGAGAGGACAGACCTAGTCCCCATCCCAGCTCTGCAACTTGCTAGCAGACAGCAGGACCTTAGGCAAGTCACTCAATCTCTAAGCCCCACTGCCCTGGTTCCCAAACTTCCCTGGTTCCCAAACTTAAGTGTACACTGGAATCACCTAGGGAGCTTAAAAATATGAACACCTGTGTTCCAATCCAAAGGCTGTGATTTTGGGTCTGTGGTGTGAGCTGGGCTTTGGAAGTCAGAAAAGATCCCCAGGTGCTTCTAACTTATAGCTAAGTTTGGGAACCTCTGTCTCAATGTCTTCAACTGAAATTTGAGAGAATGGTAGTGCCTATCACATGGGACTGCTGTGATCACTGAAACGTGCATGGCATACAGGAGACTGCATGCATTCAAAGTATCAAGCATGCACTATGTGCTAAGCACTATGCTAGAGTCACAAATGGTCCCTCTCCTCATGAAGCTGACATACTAGTGCAGGAGCAGACAGCAAATTAGCAAACAAATAAGTGAACAAAATCCTGACAGAGCATGGGAAGTGGTTATGAAAAAAATAAACATGGTGATGGAGTGGGGAGTAAAGCGGGTAGGGGGAGGATCTATTTTGGATGAAGCAATCACCTCTAAGGAGGTGACATTTAAATTGCAACCTGAAGACTGAGAGTGAGCCAGCCATGCAAAGAGTCAGGGAAGCAGGGAAGTGTTCCAGATAGAGGGAACATCATATGCAAAGACCATGTGTTGGGAAAGACTGGGCAAGGTCAAAGGATAAGATCGAGGAGGTTAGGCTCAGGTCATGCAGCTCTTGTGGGCCGTGGTGAAGCATAGGGAAATGGCAGAGGGCTAGTTGGTTTAAGAGTGGATGAGGTTAGTGGTCTCTGAAACAAGCCAGCTCTCCTTCCAGCAGTTCTTAACTGTTACATACCTCCTAAAGTCAGTTTTGTACTATTCACATAGTCCAATCCCTCCCTCTACAGTAAAGGAAATTGACATACCGAAAGGGGAAGAGACAGCTAGGGTCACCCAATAACCCTAATGGTAGAGCAGGGCCTGGAAACTGGTGTGTCCCTCTATCTGATGGGCAGATGCCCTTTCTCTTTCCTTTCTGTCCTCATCCCCACTGGCGGGGACTTCCACAGTCAGACCTGCAACGGCTCCACGCCCCTGCACCTGGCAGCCCGTGAGGGCCTGCTAGACTGTGTGAAGGTCCTGGTGCAGAGTGGTGCCAACGTCCATGCCCAAGATGCTATGGGCTACAAACCCATTGACTTCTGCAAAATATGGAACCATCGTGCCTGTGCCCGGTAACAGTGTGAGAACCACTTGCAGCCTGCCACTCCCTTCCCCTCCCCCAGCCTTTTCCCTAGGGCCCTCACCACGGCTGAGCCTCTAAGGGGAGGGTTGGGAAGCCAGGCAGCTGGGGGATGCGTCTACAGCCCAGGATATTTAGAATGAGGCAATTACCTCATCACCTGGGCTGGGGGGTAAGTCTGCCCAGGTCCCCTGCCCTCTAGGTTGATCACTGCCCTCCTTCCCTGCCCTGGGGTCCCTGGCTCGTTAGCAGGAGGGTGGTGACCAGGTCATCAAGGAATTTTCCTCTTTCACCTAAAGTAAGTAGGAAGCCAGAGACCCTCTGGCAGCTCCCCTCACCCCCCTCCAAGCTCTCAGCAGCAGCCAGTCTTCCCAGCCCAGGTGGAAGCTCTGTCACTGTGGGATGACACCCCCACCCCGACCTTGGTACCAGGTTCTTGAAGGATGCCATGTGGAAAAAGGACAAGAAGGATTTTGCCCGTGAGATGGGGAAAATGAAGACATTCAAGAGCCAGCTGGCTCTCATGGAGCACAACTACCTGATTGAGTATCAAGTAAGGGGGAAGCAGGGGGGGCCAGGCGCCAGCTGCTATCCAGGCATGTGAGCGGAGGGGACAGTGACCCACATATTGTAGAGGAGTAGCTAGAAGCACACCCATAAAGAACCACCCTTTCCCCTGTACTAACCCCCCGTACTCTGACTGAAATTCTACTCTTTTAAATAAGCCAGTCTTTTGGTCAAAAGTCTTATCTTGTGTTAGAAAGCCAATTTAAGCAAGTTTAAATTTGCAAATATTTCTGGGCCCCTCCTAGTGCACTTCCTCCTTCAGGATGAACCTGCAATGAGACCAAGGCCCTGCCTGTAATTGGGTCTCACACTCTGGTTAAAAAGATCCACCCTTCCTTCCAGCAGGCACTGGGCATTCACTCTGCGCCAGGCACCTGCTAGACCCTGAGGTCCAAAGATGAATATGTGACCCCCATGCTCAAGGAGCTTAAAGTCTAGCAGAGGAGGCAGGTTACATCCCCATCAAGGAGGAGAGGGTCCAGCAGGGTGTCAGGAGGGATGATGCTTCAGAGGAGTCTTTAAACATGTGCAGCAACTGGCTACATGAAGGAGGGAAGGGCTGACCTGCATAAAGAGCAGCCATGTGGAAAGGCATAGAGGCACCTGGGAACATGATGTATGCAGAGAACTGAAAACTCAGAGCAGCTGAGGATCAGATGTAAGTTAGAGGCTGACAAGATTTGGCAGGAGCCCAGATCAGTGAAGGACCTTGACTGGGCAAGAAGGGATTTTAAGCAGGTGTAATTATATAGGGTGCAAAACCCAGAAAACTCAGAAGATACTGGGAATCTTAAGTGAATCCTGAAGTGGGGAGGGCTTTGGAGCTGGTGACTCCAGCATGCCTGGTCTGTTTCAGTGGCATTACTCTCCAGGCCTTAGCCTATCCTCCTCTGATGTCAGGGTCACCAGTCCTCAGAGTCACACACTGTCCGGAAGAGGCAAGGCCCATCTGTTTCCTGTAGCTCTAACCTTTTTCAGAAGCTTCTTACATCTCCCCTCATCTCTTATGGCGTCAATTTGCTCAAGTGCCCGTTCTTGTTCCTTGGCTAGAACTAAAGGAAAGCCATATGCTGACTGACTTAGGTCTGGGGCAAGGTCTGATGGAATTATGGTGATTGGCTTAGCATAAGCAGAGCCTGCCTCTGGAGCTGGGTCAATCTCCAAAGCCCCTGATTGCTTAGCAACAGTCTGGGAGTGAGACAGTGAGACAATGGGAGTGGGGGAGGTTCTGTGACAACATATGGAAGGCTCCAGTGGAGGCAAGAACAGAGCTAGATTGAGTTGCTGCCACCGGACCTGGAGAGCCAGCCAACTGTATCCTCCCTACCTGACTTCCCAAGGCCCACCACTTCCATGACGTGTGTCCACATCAGGCCATCCGGTCCTTTCTGCTGCCTCCTTCCAGGGTCAAGGATGCTGTTTGCACTTCCCATTTGCCTTTCCCCCCAACACACCAGAGACTCTCTTATGGCAGGACATGTCTCCACTATCAGACTGAAGATTCCTGTGGAGGGAGAAGAGGGGACTTGTCTTTTTGTAAGACATGAGGATTTCCGTAGGTCAGGGACTGTGTCTCCCATGTCAAGTTGGAGGCTCACCTAGGGCAGAGGCTATATCTCCCCCATCAGATTGGAGATCTCCCCTGTGGGAGAGGTGCATTGTCTCCCCCATCAGCCCAGGGGCTCCCTTATGAGAAAAGCTGTCTCCCCCTTTGCAACACAGGCTCCCATGAGGTAGGTGTTCCTCTCATCAGACTCAGGGTTTCCCTCATCCATCAGATCGCAGTTTCCAAAGGCTATGGATACAGGACCTCCTTGCACAGAAGCAGAGGGCAGCAGGCCTCCATGACTGTCTTGTGCCCTCTATTGTTACAGAAAGAGCACAAAATGCTCAAAGAAGCTGCTATCAGAAAGTGGCTCCACAGCAAGCTGCACCCAGGCCACTCTCTGGTCTCTAACACCAAGCAAGCCAGGGTCACCGCTCTCTCCAAGACCCCCGAGCAACGGAGATCACAGTGTTCCAGGAGCTTCCAGCCCTCTGTGGAGATGCGCCTGCAATGCATGCCGCAGCCCACAGAGATGCCCAAGCCCATCTATAGGAACCCCACCCACCCCTCTGTGGAGGAGCGCCTGCAACGCATGCCACAGCCCACAGAGATGCCCAAGCCCATCTATAGGAACCCCACGGTCAAGCGGCCGATGATGTGGAATGTTAGCAACAACCCTGCCAGATCCCCCATCACCCAGATCAGCCATCCGCAGGGCATCCGCCTGGGCGTGCATCCAGACCCCAGCCCGGAGCACGACTTCAGCAGCTTCCTGGAGGTGACACCTGACGGGCACGGAGGTGCGCAGCTGCACACAGTGGATGGCCACTGGGTGGCACCAGTGCCACGGCTGCCTTTCGAAGTGATACTCCGCACGCTATATCCACGTGTGTGGCCTTACAGAATGAAGGTGCCCCAGGGTTTTTACCCCATCAGCATGAGGGAAGTGCCCCGGAAGAGGCACCTGGGTAATGACACCTTCTGGACCGACACTCTGACCATGAACCTGCGTGACACATTTGATGAAGCCTTCCTGGCAGCTGTGCGATCTCATCAAGGGCTCCCCGCCCTGCCCTGCCCGCAAACCCACCCATAAAGTTATTATGGCTACCTCTCCAACTGAGGCAGTCCAGTGAAGGCTGAGGTGTGGCGATTCATGTTGTGGAAGGGGAGGAAAGGGGGAGAGATGCCTATAGGCTTCCCACTCCCAAGCTGAAGGAGTCTCCCTTTCCAATCAAAAGCCCAGACCCCAGGCCTCCCTTCTCTCTGCAAGTAAGTCTCTTGCTCCCCCAACCCGCCACCACCCCCTCCCCACCGCCCAGGAAATCCAAGTTAGGTTCAGAGTGGGGGGGCGGGGTCAGTCGCTATCCTTCACCCTGGCATTGTAAAAGTGATACTTCGGCACCCTCACTGCCCTCCCTCCCAGAATGGCCCAGGCTTCCAGGATGGAAGGACCTACTGGGAAATTCTGTTCCTTGTTCAGATTAAGCCCTTCCTGCTGCAGGCTCTAGGCTGAGACCCAGAATGGGGTGGAGAGCAGCTAGTATGTCTCCCTGGCATGGGCTTCCCTGCTACTATGGGCTGCCATCCTTATTCCCAGCGGCCACTGAGGTTTCTGCAGTTCTGGGAGGCATGGGCAGCACAACCAGGGAGGCGAAGGATGTGTGGTTTCCATCTGAGTCTATGAAAGCACTTGTATTTCCTCCAGAAAATTAACTGGCTCCCCTGTATCCCCTTGTACACATCACTACAATTCATTCATTAAACAAACATTTATTGAGTGCTTTCTAGGTGCCAGGCATCAAGCCAGGCACTGTTAATACAAAAATTCCAGGACAGTCCTTGCCCTCAAGGAGCTTACAGTCTAGTGGAGAGATGACCATGAAGCAGGCAAGTGAGTGCAGAGTGATCTGTGTGGTATGCCGGGCTGGGGGTTGGGGAGGAGAGGGTATAGCTAAACCTCCTTGGAGGAAGTTTGAGACTTGACAAGCTGAGACTTGACAGAGAAAGTACCCTTTCTCTGTGACCAAAAGAAAAGCAGAATCAGTGGCAAGACAGAGCCACAGTATCTCTGGATACAAGTGGGGCCCAGAATGCAAGAAGGCAAGTGATGAGGCCAGAGAGGTGAGCAGGGACCAGGACACCATGAGTCTCACAATCCATGCTGAGGGGTCTGGACTTTATCCTGAGGGCAGTGGGAAGCCATGGAGGGTTTTAGGCCAGAGAGTGACTTGATCAGCTATGCAATGCATTTTAGGGAGACAGGTCTGGCCAAGGGATAGAGAAGCAGCAAGAGGCTGTCACAGTAATCCAGGTGAAAGCTGATGACAGTGGGAGTGGCTCAAATCAACAGATGTTAAGGTAGACTTGACCACTTTGAGAAACTGGACATGGTGGGCAGAAAGAGAAAACAGGAATAGAAGACAGGTGTCCTGTCTGGCTCCTGAGTGATCTCAGGGCCAAGGCAAGTACCCAGAAGAGGCAGGTTTGCAGAGGACAGCACGTACCATCTGGGCCGTGGACTTGAATCATCTACGCACCCAGAAGGCAGCAAAACTGTGGTTCAGGTAATCAGGAAGGATGTTGGGGCTGGAGGTCAACTCTCAATGCCTCTGCAGTCCCTGAAATCCTCCAGATGGATGGGCTTCCCTAGGGAGCCCACAACAGAACTCTGAAAGACCCTACTGTGCACAGGCAAGTGGAGAAGCTTGCACAGGAGCCTGAAAGAAACAGCCAGAGAGGTAAGAGGACAACTAGCTACAGGGGTGCCAGGGAAGTGCGATCCAAGAAGCAAGGGGTGATCAGCCATGTCAGATGCTGCCCAGATCCAGTAAGATATGAAAGGGGTCCGTTGGATTTAGCAACCCCTGGGAGAACACTGGCAGTAGAGTGGAGGGGGCAAAGCCACATCATCAAGGTGAGGAACCAAGCAGCAGAGGGAGAAGGGCCAGCTGTCAGCCCAATAGGAGGATGAGGCTGGCCTCCAGTGTCCTCTGCCTTGTGTATCCTGGTCTGCATAGGAAAAAAGGGCCTAGCCGTCACAGTTACTGTGAGAGAAGACCAAAATGTGCTCTTCCTCTTGGTGAAAGGGAAAGCTGGTATTAAGAGAAGATAAATGCTAAAGTCAAGGAAACGAAGGGCTATGATAGAACTTCAGGCATGATATAGAGGAAATATTTTCAAGCACAGGGGTTTTTCCAGTGGCTCAAAGATATCACATGTGTACAGTTCATCTCTGCACCAGCTAGCCTCACTTTGAGGTATAGAACATGGCCAGAAATGGCTCTCATGGGGACTTCATTCCAATATTTACGGTTGAGCACTTGCAAGGCACTGTAGTTGGAGTGCAAGGTCAACAAATGCTGGTCTGTGCCGAAGACCTGGCCTGCCTTCTTAGAAGGCAGAGATATCTCCCCAGGAGCCAAGAGTGCACAGAAGAGGGCCAGACCTCGGACGCTGTTACAGGGACAAACAGCTTCTCCCATTAGTCCCATTTCTTTAAAAACAGGCTGCCTGGAAGCTGATTTTTATTTTGTTTCTCCTTGAGCCTAAGATAGCATTCAGCCAGAAACCACTCCTCTCCCAGAGGAAGATTTATAAATAGAATATTATAGATGTTCTTCTGGAAATCTAGCCCAGTCCTGAATTGTCCCCTCTCCTACTCCCAGTTTGACAATCATAGAGCCTTGGGGAAAGAGATAGAAGAGAGTGCATCAGAGAGGCTGCCTCTAGGCCCACTTCCCACTCCCTGACCAGGCTCAGCTCTTCACCCCTGCCCCCTTCCCACTAAGGGCTAGAAGAACAGTCCCTTAGGATGGGCGAGACCCAAACCCAGTAAAGGAGTCCCTGGGGCAGAAAAGTGAGTCCAGTCCAGGGCAGAAGGTTAGCAGGAAGAAAGGAAGATGAACTGTCAGGGTATTAAGGCAAACAGTGCCACCTAGAAGCTTTATTCAAATGGAAATCCGCATTTGGACAGAAATCACGGTTCGACAGCAAAAACTATTTCTGTTGGACATGCCAAGCCATGGCCCCTCCCCATGGCCACCTGCCCAGAGAACTTGTCACCATCTGCTCTTCAGCCTCACAGACCCTGCCCTGCCTGCCCCAGCTGGGCCAGAACCTCCTGACCCACCTTGGAAGGGACAGGGGAGAGCTGCAGGACCTCGGCCTCCTGGCTAAGCAGGCTCTGCCACCCTCCCTGGTGCCCTCTGAGGTTATAGCCTCCTGCAGCATCAGATCTGAGCCAAGCTGAACCCCCACCAAGGAGGAAAGGGATGGGGCATCAGAGTTGAGGGGAGGAAAGCCGGGGCTGGTGTTGGGTGCCTTTCCGGCTTCCGGCCCCCACCTGGCATAGAGGCCCAGGGGCCTGACTCTCCTGATCTTGCCCCCACATCCTGCCCGCACGGGGGTCAGTATATCTTCTGACGACTGGGTAGAATGGCCTCTTTGATGAAGGAGAAGACAACCAGGATCCCTAAGCGTTTGCCCCGCTTGCCTTTGGTGAAATAATTGGAGACGACGTCATCTGTGGAGACACAGGCAAGAAGATGAAAGTGAGAGAGAGAAAGAGACAGTGTATGTGTGTGTGTGAACACAGCTATCCCAACTGTGAGTCCAGGTGTCTCCAACACACGGCTATGGCTAGACTCTGGTTCGTGTGTGTGTGTATGTGTGTGTGAACACAGCTATCCCAACTCTGAGCTCAGGTGTCTCCAACACAGGGCTAGACTCTGGTTCGTGTGTGTGTGTGTGTGAACATAGCTATCCCAATTCTGAGCCCAGGTGTCTCCAACACAGGGCTAGACTCTGGTGTGTGTGTACACAGCTATCCCAACTCTGAGCCCAAGTGTCTCCAACACAGGGCTAGACTCTGGTTCCCTCAGTGGACCCCTGCCAACCCAAGCCTTGCTGGCTTGCTCCCACCTCAGCCCCTTAAAAACCCCTTCTCACCTCCTGGCTGCATGGTAGAGGGCAGGACATTCTCCCCAGCCGAAAGTGACACAAAAAACGCAAATGGAATTATCCACAGGCAGAAAGTGAAATAGGCCAGGACCTGGCAACAAGAGAGACTAAGAAGAGGGTACCCTGGAGGTGCAAAGAGTGGGCTGGGTGTGGTCACTGCGTGTTGGTCAAGAGTACACAGAGGGCCACACTTAATCTCCAACGGGGGCCCAGACCTGGGAAGTGGGGAAAGCCACCCTCAGACATCGAAATACTTCTCTGGGGAAAGGTGGGGGCTGAAGATGACTGAATGCGACCACAATCCCTACATCTTGGTCACCAGGAAGCAACTCCCCTGGACTGAAGGAGGCAGATTAAGTGCTAAGCCATGACTGACTGAACCACACTCCCCAAAGAAGTGACCTTGCTCTTCCCAGAGGTTCAAACTGGAGCAGCAGGGTGTGGAGAAATTGTGAGGGAAGAAAACCTTGGTAGCCACTGGGAAAAGCTGGGGCTCAGGACTGCAGCCCACCCTTGCCCTGTGAGGACTGTGTCAGAGAAGGCCACCCTAGTGCCCCTTCCTGACTTCAGGATGACCCCCCCAGGGGAACCCAAAGGACTCACTTAGGAGGAGCAGTGTCCTCCCTGCCTCAGCCAAAGGTGCGCTTTCTGTCCCCACCCACACTGCTCTCTCTAACCATCTATACCTCCTGTTCCCATCCACACTGCCTTCTCTTCTTTTTTTTTTTTTTTTGAGATGGAGTCTCCCTCTGTCGCCCAGGCTGGAGTGCAGTGGTGTGATGTCAGCTCACTGCAAACTCCACCTCCCAGGTTCAAGTGATTCTCCTACCTCAGCCTCTGAGTAGCTGGGATTACTGCTGCCCACTACCACACCCAGCTACTTTTTGTATCTTCAGTAGAGATGGAGTTTCCCCATGTTGGCCAGGCTGGTCTTGAACTCCTGACCTTGTGATCCACCCACCTCAGCCTCCCAAAGTGCTGGGATTACAGGCGTGAGCCACTGTGCCCGGCCTCTCACACACACTGCCTTCTCTAACCATCTATGCCTTCTGTCCCCATCTACACTGCTCTCTCTAACCATCTATGTTTTATTTTTTTTTCAAACATATAATCCTTGAACAGCTTCAGTTTCAAATCATAGCTAAGTTCACAAAGTAAACCATGCAAGTTCCCTTTTACTCCCCTGTCACTGTTAACAGCTGAATGTACCGGACACTTCTTACCTCTGAGAAGGGATAATATTCTTCTGCAAAAAACTGAAATGCTAGGTAATGATTCACCACCACTAATCCTGTTGAGGGAATGAACAGTCAGTCAGTTTAAGGGGAATA